AAGGAAATAAACTGTGATAAATTGTCTTAATTTGTTTGTAATATAGACATATATATATACACAAATAAATCAATCAAAAAAAAAAAAAAAAAAAATACATATTAAGCGCACGTCAATAAATTTCAATTTTAAGTGATATGAAAAATAATTTCTTGTCTTTGTAAATCCAATAACTTTACATCACAACCGGTTTCCTTATTTTCCTCATTTTTTTACTTTTGAATACTGTTTCAGACCTAAAATAAAATTACGTTCTTAATGTTTATATATACTCATATATTGTAATGCCCTAGAAATTTTACCTTTTTTTGTGATTTCACTGGATTTCAGTAGACTGTTTATTTCTACTTTCACTTTCGTTTTGAGAAGATTTTACTGGCGACAAGACAAGATAAATCATGCGGTGTCCTAATGAAACATACAGGACATCAACTTAAATCTACGTATTGTGCCAGCAATTTAATCATTCCTGATTCTGGAAGCGTTTCCCTTAATGTTATCCATTTCCCTTAATGTTATCCGTGGTAGAATCCTGTGTTTTTAATCTGTTTTCGTGACTTCTGTCAAAATAGTTTATTCCTTTATTTTACACTCAAGATTATATAGTTCGATTGTTTATGATGCAGCCTCACTTAATATATAGATATGCCTCATAAATCCATCTGAATTTAATTGTTAGCACTGTATATTTATAAAAATTTGCAATGCATAATTCAATGTCGGCCATGTTGGACTAAATTACGTAGAGATTACGTAGTGAATGCAAGGGATAGTTCTTCATTTGATTGCGCATAAAAAGGAACACGTTATCCTAACTATTTTACTTTCGATATTAGCGCACGATAGCTTATAAATATTTCTAAAAATCATTTGTTGAGGCTGTGACAAAAATTAATTTCGGTGCTAGGTTGAGTGCATTTCAGTTCTTACATAAACTCGTTTAAAATACATTTCTAGCTACCATATAGATCTATATGATAATCAAAATTTATCGCTAAACGATCTATATACATGTAGCTAAAGTTGTTAAAAACCTAAAATGATTACGATGTTTTAATAAATGTTTAGAAACGTTTTCATTTTGCGTGCGTTTTAGCGTGCGTATATCGTTTAGCGTATTTCGTTTAGCGTATATCGTTTTGCGTGCGTCTGCGTATTTCGTTTCGTTTTGCGTGCGTATAACGTGCGTTCGTATAGCGTGTAACGTGCGTTCGTATAGCGTGTAACGTGCGTTCGTATAGCGTGTAACGTGCGTTTTGCGTGTAAACTGACACGTTCACCCTACTGTATGATGTGAGTTTTACTTACTTTAAGTTTAAAGGCATGAAGAAATTGGAGTAAAAAATACCAATTTTTCGAAAAAAATCTAAGTTCAAGTGGGAAATAATTCTGAAAATAGCCTTGCTAGAGTATTTAACCTTCTAAAAAATGTTGAGTGATAATAAGAAACATATATATGAAGTTTGAAGTAGATACATTAAGAAATAAAGAAGTTATTTAAAAAAGACAAACATTTTTTCATAAAAATTCTAAGTTCAAGGGAGGTAATTCTGATAATTTTTGTGCTAGAGTTGTAAACCTTGTCACATATGATGTGGTTGATGACCAGAAACTTATATTTAAAGTTTGAAGTAAACACCTTAAAAAATAAAGAACTTATAGTGAAAAAGCTTACAAATTTAAATCAGAAATCTTGAATTTCAATCTATTTGTTGCCATAGCAACCAGAATTTTCAACAAAGGAAGAAAAGAAAAAGACGTGCATAATCTCCATACTGCCATCTATCCATATATCAAGTTTCATTAAACAAATTTCAGTACTTTGTGAGTTATCACTGGATCAAGTTTATGAGTTAAATTTGCCATATTTTCAGACTATAAGTTGCCATAGCAACCAGAATTTTCAACAAAGGAAGAAAAGAAAAAGACGTGCATAATCTCCATACTGCCATCTATCCATATATCAAGTTTCATTAAAATATTTTCAGTACTTTTTGCGTTATCGCAGGATCCATTTTTGTGGACTGACGGACTGACAGACAGACGGACAGACGGACGGACAGACGGACGGAGGGTAAACCTAAAGTCCCCTCCGGTTAAATCGGTAGGGGACTAACAACAACAATGCACTCGCCTTATTATTACCTCACTGTGTATTTTCAAACCGACACATGACGGCGCCATTTTGTTTGAAAAATCTGATAAATAAAAACGTTTGTTGTCGAATTTTGTTGTGAAAACTATCTAGAATGAAAGAAAATGGTCTAACTAAGAAAATGAATCCGAGCACCAATATCTTTAATTCAGTCGTTAGCGCTGTACAAACGTTTAAAGTTCTCTTTACTTGTCATCACAATGTAGCGCCAAACAGCACGTGCAAAACAATGAAATCAAGAACGCTATTTCAATGTCGCAAAAGAGTTAAATTTCACTTTTATTTCACTTTTAATACTTTGTATTTCGCTTGAAAAATAAAGAGTGAAAAATAGAATAAATAAACAAAGTTTTATCAGGCCTATCGGACTTCGTGATTATATTACTACCATTTGAACTCAAACCGTGCATTATTCTACAACAATGCACTCAGAATTGATATCTATTTCCTAAACATAACCGAAAGTAATTACCCAGTAAAAAACATTTCCCAAGATATTTTGAAATCATGATTCAATGATGATCCTCATTATTGAAGTTTAAAATTTCAAAAATTAATTTTCATTCTTGATTTCAATTGCGATCTACAGCTCACGATGAAATTAGTTTTTAAAGAACAGAAAATCAAACGAAGTTTCAATGAAACGTTTTTATAATTGTTAAGTGTTTAATTGCAGGTAGGATTAACGCAAAAACTGAAATTGCAAAAGTTAGTAAATAATAGAAAATGCCAGTGAATTCAACAAAAGGGTATCTGGTAAATACTTAACAAGAGAGTCCTGGTTATTGTAAAACAATACAATCTGTACAAAGCATATAAAATGACATTGTATAAAAACTCATAAGTGCATGTGGATAACGTTTTACCTTTCTGAAGTTGCAAGTAATCCGCTCCAGATAATGTTGCCGAACATTAACAGATATATCAAGTACTTGTTTTTTGCCGTTTTCTCTGTAACAAAAGACTAAATTGATTTAACTGCTGCAATTAAAAAATTGAGTAAAATAAATTGAGTGAAACCAACAAATTATTACCTGTTCCTATAATCGTGTCTGTTTAACGTTACAAATTTTCGAATGTAAATAAACAACATCGTTTAAATAAACCAAAATGGTTTGATGACGAATGTTATACTGTAAAAAAGAGTTCAAAAAGGCTAGAAATTTAAAGATAGTTAGAAATCAATACAAAAGTAAACAGACATATTTTTTTAATTACAAAATGATTTAATCAAAGGCAAAATGACTTTTGCTATTTTTAAATTTGTGTTGCGTGTAACTCAAAATGTTCTAGAGAAATGAAACCTAACGGTAGTTTTGTTTAGCATGTGTAGTTTTACTTGTGTCAAATTGAAGGTTCCATAACACATCAGCATTGTTTGTGCCGTGTGGAGGCCGTAAAAAGTCGCCACCTACATTTAGTCAGAGATGCTATATTTCCGATCCTCAAAGATCGTTAAGCACGACATTTGTGTTGTGTTTCTGGCATTTTAGTTCTTACTATTTGGCATTTTCTAGTTGTGTAGTTCCAATATTCCTTCTTGAATATTGTTGAATTATCCTTAGGACGTGTTGTCTGCGTTTTAAATCTTGTTTTTGACGTTTTATTTGTGATATTCAGGCTTCATAACCTCTGATCCCCATTCAAGAAATTAATTTTGTTTAGTTCCGCCCATTGTTTTCTTGTTTGGGGCACACGCTTCTATTACTATGGGACCATATGCCGCTTTACATTGAAAAGCAATTAGTGTCAAATAATAACCGCCGCATGAACACATCTATTCAAAGTTTTACCATTTTCATGTTTAAATGTTAAATTCTGCTTAAGCCGGTGCTTGCACTTTCCATTACCGTCAATGAACTGGCTAAATCAAACCGAGCCTGCAACATTTTCATTATTTTCGTTTTGGACCCTTTTAGGAATTCTCTTTTTCTCTATCTTATTGATCTTGATTTCGAAAATATGTCATGAAACTTCACAGGAATGTTGGTCAGCATAGGAAGTCGTGCCTTTGGGTTTTATTTGCTTTTATTTTGTTGTAAGCATACTTAAGTATATAAAATTGAGATCAGCTGAAAATTGGGAAAAATCAAGATGGCGACATTGGAAAACATAGATAACGTTTTTATGCCCAAACCACTTAGGGGTAACGAGAGTCATATAGTATTTCACTCGTGTGTCCGTCTGGTAAACTGTCCTACAGTGCGTACATAGACTGATAAAGCAGTGGAATGTGGGAGCATCTGTGTCCTATGCACATATTTCTATTGTTCTTTCTCCTATATTAATAATTCTATCAAAGTTATGCAAATGATTGTATTATATGTAAACCTTGTAAATCTCTACCCAGATTTTTAAATGTACATTGCTTTTCTAGCCATTACCATACTAGTACTCACATTTACTATTATAAGTTTTTGCCAAAGGAAGTAATGATTCATTTTGTCGACACATTTTTCATAATCGATAAATAATGCAGTACTGTTTTTACACGAATATAAGTCTTTTTAAATTGTTGAATGTAAAAAGAATATACAATAAAACGTGATCTTACCCTTTCGAAAGTCAAATTGGCTATGTACAATGTATGTTTTTAGTGTGTTTTTTTTCAGTCCATATTGTTAGCCTATTAAGTAATTGCTGTGAATAATTTTTAGATAACTATTAAAAGGGTTATACCATGGTAATGTCTAGCTAATTTTGGGTCGCCCCTTTGAATATTGGAATAATATATCCTTCTAAGGTTTCCGGGTATTGTTCATTTTCAAATATTTAGTTGAAGATTGACTAAAGGAAAGACGAAATTGTTGATTGAATATTTATATTTCCTGCTGACACACCAGTCCAGTTGCATTAAAGCAGCACGCTTCCACATTTATCCTTATTTTCATGAAAATTTTGAAAATGTATTTAAAAGTAAAATATTGTGAAGTGGACAAAGGAAGTAAATATACACATTGCAAATGGTACTAACAATCCATGTAAATAACCACAAAGAGGTAAAAATATGCATAAATATCCCTTTCTGCGTTAGCATCGCAATAGAAATATGGTGATCAATACTGCAAAATCAGTAATTCAGAGCACATAAGATCTGATTTTTTTTTAATCGTGAATCTTTTTTACCATTCTTACAATCTTAATAAGTTTTCCAAAGTGTTATTGTCTTAAAATATTTTGGCTCATCTGGAGGCGTGCAGCTTTAAAATTATTTTGATTAAAAATAGCTTTCTACATTTATCTTCAGATATCTGTGAGTCTAAAACTATATCATGTATATTTTCAAATGTTTCATCAAGAACATTGTATGTTTTCTTAATATTTTTTCAAAACAATGTAGAAAATTGTTCATGAAGAAATGTTTCAACATTTTTTACGGAGTTACTCACTTTTCGCGGCTTGGTGCATGCAATAATTTCAAGTTTAGTTTTACCTTTATGTATTTTATACCTATATTTTGCCTTTGATTGAATCTTATTGTAATTAAAAAAAGAAATATATGCCTGTTTTCTTCAGTTTTATTTTCTAAAAATGCATTGGTTGTAAATCTCTTCTCAATAAACATCTACCTGTTTAATTAACATTATATTTCATCAATTGTATTGTGAACTTTTGTATTGTAGATAGCATAGATATAACAAAGACATACCCTCATTGTTTTGTAGATATTCATTTAGATCTGAAAAATGAAAATCACTAACAAAGAAGTAAAACAAAACGAAGTATATCGTTTTCTTTTATCAAGCATTTTGCATTTTATTTCGGAAATATCTATAATGTAAAATTGTTTATTTATCTAACAAATATTCTCAATATTAATATTCTATAAAAATATTGAGCGTATCTGTTAAATATTTCTTGATGAGTTTTGAATATTATTATTGGTAAATTTATAGCATTGCAAAGACAGTCATTGTACAATGTTGATTTTAGTTGTTTTTTTCTCTCACAAAATAGATAAAGACACTGCATTGCAGGTGATTATTATTGATAAATACAATTATAATTATTGTGTAAGCATTAACTCTTGAACTGTCATCTTTAGCTTGCCTAGCTCAAATTTAAACTGCTGGTAAAAACATATAAACAGATGAAATAAACTCACATGTTTGTTGTTTATTTAGAGACCCCCGCTGTAAAATAGAAAAAGAAAGATCAGTTACAATATAAAAAGCTTCGAATGTGGGTATTCTCGACGATATATCATCGGCTGACAATGTTAGTATATAACTTCAAATGAATGTTATCCGTATAATGAGAATATATCTCGCGCAGCACCAATTCACTTATAGTTTAAGGCAAACATTGTATAATCCTCTTATTAAACGGCAACAAATGTAAATATTGATTTTTCAAGTGATACTATATGCAATAATCATCGCTTTATTTCGTAATTTAAAAAAAAAAATCTGTTAACTACGAATTGTAGAAAATCCATAATACGATCAGGGTGCAGAAACGCTGAGACATGATGTAGATACGATGCGATACTATATTCAAGTTTGAATACGAGAGTGGGTCAATATGTAAAGCAATATGGTCAATAAATTTAACAAAAGAGCAAATATTTTACAATTTTCTAATTCAACTCTTCGAAATAATCTCTTAAAGAAATAAAAAATTGTAGACGTTTTATCTAATGTTTAAACGTTTCAACGTAGTCCACGTCCACCTAAGGTTAAGTGTTTAATAATTGGATAATTGCCGACCCAAGTCTATTTTACTCTTGTGGCGATGACCTACAAGATGTTTGTTATTTTAGACAAGGAAAAAGGAAAAAGTCACAGAGTGCCATGTCTTTTGGAATACGGTGGATGTTTTAGAACAGTCACTCGTTTTTCTCGACAAAAATCAATTAAAGTTGCCCATTTTTTTTAGAAAGCATTGTCATGCAGAAAATGCAGGCCTTTCATGCCAGTCGATCGACGAACTTTATTGAAGTGATTTTTTACTTTTCTTAACACGACATCTCTTCTTTTAATTAGATACTGGAGTACGGCCTAAAAAAACAGGAAATCGGACAACAGTTCCACAGGTATTGTAAACATATCTTACTAAAATAACTTTCTTGACAAAAATGTTATTGTTACACTGGCGTTAAAAGTAAAACATGCACAATATAAGAAAATGGCGGCTGTCATAATTAGAAAATATTTTACAGTAATTTTTGGCTTCTTTTTCTGGTTAGATGATAGCAAATTAGGTTAATCTGGTAGTTATTCACCTAACCTTTAAGTGATTTTTCAGAACAGTAAGAGTGACAATTTGGATATACATACGATATGGCTATCCGGGTAACTGAAAGTCTGGCAACGTTGTCAATGATAAGATTGACTATATGTTCATTTTTGTCAGTAAAGCAAATATTTTGAAACAAAGGAAATCCAGAATTACTTTATTTACATTGAGTAGAAATAAATTATTTAAATGATGACACACAACTGGTTTTGAAGCATTGTAACATTTTATATCTCGACATTGTTTAAATAGCATGTAAAGGAGATAATTTGTTCATAAAATTTATACAAAATATTTTTGGAGGAGGCCTAATGAATGTTCTAAAAATTAGAAAAATTATTTGAATCTTAAAATGTAGGATAGGTAAAAAAAAACATGTTTGTTTTTAAAAGTTTTGATAAAAGAGATAGGGTACTGTATACGTATATCATATATTAAATGTGTTAATATAAATTGGAACAAATTTTGTAATAAGTTAAATGTACATCATAATTATTCCCTGTCATTGATACGTTTTGTCATTTTTACTATATACTGATGGGTATACTGCCTTATCACAAAGAACGTTTATCTTATCTTATAAAGCCACCCGGACCGTAATTTTGATGTCCGTCCCGTTGTGTTGTAGTAAGAAGCCTATTTGATAAGAAGTTCAGAGACCCTGCTTGGAAGCTCTGGTGCATCTGGCCGATTTCTATGTATAATATTCGTTAAACTAAAGAATTTCTTGTTCATTATATAATCACTTAATAATATTATGTGAAAACAATCCGGACGGGAAGTTTGGACAAGACGGGACATGATAAGAAGGGACGATTAATAGGCCCCGTCACAACCAAATTCTAGAGGCTGGAAACTACCATGTCAAAACATCTAAATTGAAAATGTAACAGGCTCGAACTGACTTTGCCTGTTCATGAACTCTACTGGAAAATGCAAAAGGTAAGCTACCGTGAACGCCCCCCCCCCCCCGAACCTAGACTTCATACCCTTTGCAGTAAGATGAATTTTATTCTATTTTAGACTGGCTGACATCAATGGGCAATATATGTGCTGTCAGTGAAAGAAAGAGTTTTACAGTGAAAGAAAGAGTTTTGATATAGAACAAATCGGAGAACTCATGTACGTGTACCTTCAGGAACATTTACATTTGTATGCTATGGAAATGGTTTCGCTTCAACGCGAGAGTTGTAAAGCCAGATGCTTTTCTTAAGTCTCTTTTGTAAAGAGTTAATTATAGTATTATACATATACTAGGTAAAGAACCGGCAACAATCTCTTAGTATGATAGATTCTGATTTGTAACACAATAAAATACATTCGAACTTTGCCAAAGTGCATAACATTTACAAAGGTATAAAAGACATTCCAATACGAGTCGTTTCGCTCTCATTATTTAACTATGATTTGAAGAAAAACCAAGTGTGACCCCTTGGTCAGGTATAATGTTGACGCCAATGCTGTTATTTAAATAATCTTAATAGAGGACTATACAATGTTGACCTGCACTATTTTTGGTAGTAATGGTATTCCTTCATAAACATTTCGCAATCTGACTGTAAAATTTCGTACTTACCGGATCTGCCATTCCTGATAGGCACGCTTCCTACAAAAGGAAAGTGAATAATCATAACATTAATGTATTCATTTCAGAATCAATATCACTTATTACTCCTTACAAAAAAACTTTACATATGATTAATTTATTCTGAAGCGCCGCATTGCTGCTCAATATGACATAAGGTCTACATTGATAAGTCAATAAAAATAGTAAGTATAAAGTAAAGAACTTTTATACGGCAACATGAAAAAAATAAGAATCCTTAAGAACACATTTTTGCTGTGTAAAAATAAAATGTAAACATAAAAGCACCATTCTTAACAACTCAAAATCTTTTATATTCTTTTAGTCGGACACCAAAACAGATTTGGCCTTATTAGCCTTTAAGTCAATAAAATTTTGTAAGTATAAAGAAAAGGATTTTTATATGGTAAAATGGAGAAAATAAGAATCATTAAAAAGCGTCCAAAACGTTCAAAATTTCAAAATATTGTCAGCTCGGTTTGATAGGGCTTATCATGGTGTCGTGGTAACTGAAAGCTATCAGCCACGACCGCTAACACCACCTTGAGTATAATTCAACCTTTAAGATGTAATGGTGAAATTTTGAATTTACTAAGTAATTTAAAAATACTTGAAAAAAACCCTAGACAATATGCACAATAGACTCGTATTTTGAGGAGTCGAACTGGTTATGTAAGAATTGGTTATCTTGCAAGTAATTAATTGTAAACATGCTTCTCTTCTATTTTAAAGTTATTTAAAGATGTGGATGAGCTTACACAGTTCATCAATTATCTTGTTTACTTTGTACTTACCGGATCTGTCATCCCTGATAGGTGCGTTTCCTACAAAAGAAAAGTGAATAATCATAATATTTACTGCTATACAGGTTTTATTTCAGAACCAATGTCATTAATAACTCCTAACAAAAATAACTTTACATATGATTAATCTATTCTGAAGCGCCGAATTGCTGCTCAATATGACATAAGGTTTACTCTGATAAGTCAATAAAAAAGTAAGTATAAAGTAAAGAACTTTTATATGATAAAATGGAGAAAATAAGAATCCTTAAAGAGCGTCCATAACGTCCAAAGTTTCAAAGTATTGTCGGCTCGGTTTGATAGGGCTGTTTATGGTGGTGTGGTAATTGAAAGCTATCTGCCATGACTCCTAACACCACCTTAAGTATAATTCAACCTTTAAGATGTAATGTTGAAAATTTTAATTTACTAAGTTATTTAAAAATGCTTGATAAAAAACACTAGACAATATGTACAATATACCTGTATTTTGAGGAGTCGAACTGGTTATGTAAGAATTGGTTATCTGGCAAGTAATTAATTGTAAACATGTTTCTCTACTATTTTAAAGTTATTTAAAGATGTGGATGAGCTTACACAGTTGATCAATTATCTTGTTTACTTTGTACTTACAGAAATACATACAGGATATGCCATCTCTGATAGGCGCGTTCCCTACGGAAGGAAAGTGAAAAATCATAACATTTACTGCTATACAGGATTTATTTCAGAATCAATGTCATTAATTACTCCTAAGAAAAATAACTTTACATATGATTAATCTATTCCGAAGCGCCGCATTGCTGCTCAATATGACATAAGGTTTAAACTGATAAGTCAATAAAAATAGTAAGTATGAAGTAAAAAACTTTTATATAGTAAAATGGAGAAAATAAGAATCCTTAAAGAGCGTCCAAAACGTCCACAATTTCAAAATATTGTCGGCTCAGTTTGATAGGGCTTGTTCATGGTGATATGGTAATTGAAAGCTATTTACACCACCTTGTGTATAATTCAACCTTCAAGATGTAATGGTGGAATTTGAATTTTCTAAGTAATTAAAAAATACTTGAGAAAACCCCTCGAAAATATGAAAAATATACTTGTATTTTGAGGTGTCGAACTTGTTATGTAAGAATTGGTTATCAGGCAAGTAATTAATAGTAAACGTGCTTCTCTAGTATTTAAAAGTTATTCAAAGATTTGGATAAACTTACATAGTTGATCAGTTATCTTGTTTACTTTGTACTTACCGGATATGTCATCCTTGGTACGAGCGTTTCCTACAAAAGAAAAGTGAATAGTCATAACATTTACTGCTATACAGAATTTATTTCAGAATCAATGTCAATTATTACTCCTTACAAAAATAACTTTACATATGTCTAATCTATTCTGAAGCGCCGCATATCTGCTCAATATGACATAAGGTTTACACTGATAAGTCAATTTTTTTAGTAAGTATAAAGTAAATAACTTTTATATGGTAAAATGGAGAAAATAAGAATCCTTAAAGAGCGTCCATAACGTCCAAAGTTTCAAAATATTGTCGGCTCGGTTTGATAGGGCTTGTTCATGGTTTTGTGGTAATTGAAAGCTATTTGCCACGACTCCTAACACCACCTTGAGTATAATTCAACCTTTAAGATGTAATGTTGAATTTCTGAATTTAGTAAGTAATTTAAAAATACTTGAGAAAAACCCTAGACAATATGAACAATATACTCGTAGTCGAACTGGTTATGTAAGAATTGGTTATCTTGCAAGTAATTTATTTCTATCAAGCTTCTCTACTAGTTTAAAGTTATTTAAAGATGTGTATGAGCTTACACAGTTGATTAATTATCTTGTTTACTGTGTACTTACCGGATCTGACATGCATGGTAGGAAAGTTTCCTACAAAAGAAAAGTGAATAATCATAACATTTACTGCTATACAAGATTTATTTCAGAATCAATGTCATTAATTACTCCTAACCAAAATAACTTTGAGTATAATTCAAATCAACCTTTAAGATCTAATGGTGAAAATTTTAATTTACTAAGTAATTTAAAAATACTTGAGAAAAACCCTAGACAATATGAACAATATACTTGTATTTTGAGGAGTCGAACTTGTTATGTAAGAATTGGTTATCTGGAAAGTAATTCATTGTAAACATGCTTCTCTACTATTCTAAAGTTATTTAAAGATGTGGATGAGCTTACACAGTTGATCAATTATCTTGTTTACTTTGTACTTACCGACAATACCATTCTTAATCGCCTCGGTTCCTACAAAAGAAAAGTGAATAATCATAACATTTACTGCTATACAGGATTTATTTCAGAATCAATGTCATTAATTACTCCTAACCAAAATAACTTTGAGTATAATTCAAATCAACCTTTAAGATCTAATGGTGAAAATTTTAATTTACTAAGTAATTTAAAAATACTTGAGAAAAACCCTAGACAATATGAACAATATACTTGTATTTTGAGGAGTCGAACTTGTTATGTAAGAATTGGTTATCTGGAAAGTAATTCATTGTAAACATGCTTCTCTACTATTCTAAAGTTATTTAAAGATGTGGATGAGCTTACACAGTTGATCAATTATCTTGTTTACTTTGTACTTACCGACAATACCATTCTTAATCGCCTCGGTTCCTACAAAAGAAAAGTGAATAATCATAACATTTACTGCTATACAGGATTTATTTCAGAATCAATATCATTAATTACTCCTAACAAAAATAACTTTACATATGATTAATCTATTCTGAAGCTCCGCATTGCTGCTCAATATGACATAAGGTCTACACTGATAAGTCAAAGTATAAAGTAAATAAATTTTATATGGTAAAATGGAGAAAATAAGATTTTTTAAAGAGCGTCCAGATCGTCCAAAATTTCAAAATATTGTCAGCTCGGTTTGATGGCTTATCATGGTATCTTGGTTATGAAAGCTAGCTCACGACCCCTAACACCATTAAGTAAATTCAACTATTAAGATGTAATGGTGAAATTTTGAATTTAGTAAGTATTTAAAATACTTGAGTAAAAAACCCTAGACAATATGAACAATATACTCGTATTTTGAAGAGTCGAACTGGTTATGTAAATTGGTTATCTGGAAAGTAATTCATTGTAAACATGCTTCTTTACCATTTTAAAGTTATTTAAAGATGTGGATGAGCTTACACAGTTGATCAATTATCTTGTTTACTTTGTACTTACCGACAATACCATTCTTAATCGCCTCGGTTCCTACAAAAGAAAAGTGAATAATCATAACATTTACTGCTATACAGGATTTATTTCAGAATCAATATCATTAATTACTCCTAACAAAAATAACTTTACATATGATTAATCTATTCTGAAGCTCCGCATTGCTGCTCAATATGACATAAGGTCTACACTGATAAGTCAAAGTATAAAGTAAATAAATTTTATATGGTAAAATGGAGAAAATAAGATTTTTTAAAGAGCGTCCAGATCGTCCAAAATTTCAAAATATTGTCAGCTCGGTTTGATAGGGCTTATCATGGTATCGTGGTTATTGAAAGCTATCTGCCACGACCCCTAACACCACCTTAAGTATAATTCAACTATTAAGATGTAATGGTGAAATTTTGAATTTAGTAAGTAATTTAAAAATACTTGAGTAAAACCCTAGACAATATGAACAATATACTCGTATTTTGAAGAGTCGAACTGGTTATGTAAGAATTGGTTATCTGGAAAGTAATTATTGTAAACATGCTTCTTTACCATTTTAAAGTTATTTTAAGATGTGGATGAGCTTACACAGTTGATCAATTATCTTGTTTACTTTGTACTTACCGACAACAGCATTCTTAATAGCCTCGGTTCCTACAAAAGAAAAGTGAATAATCATAACATTTACTGCTATACAGGATTTATTTCAGAATCAATATCATTAATTACTCCTAACAAAAATAACTTTACATATGATAAATCTATTCTGAAGCTCCGCATTGCTGCTCAATATGACATAGGGTCTACACTGATAAGTCAAAGTATAAAGTGAATAAATTTTATATGGTAAAATGGAGAAAATAAGATTTTTTAAAGAGCGTCCAGATCGTCCAAAATTTCAAAATATTGTCAGCTCGGTTTGATAGGGCTTATCATGGTATCGTGGTTATTGAAAGCTATCTGCCACGACCCCTAACACCACCTTAAGTATAATTCAACTATAAAGATGTAATGGTGAAATTTTGAATTTAGTAAAAAATTTAAAAATACTTGAGTAAAACCCTAGACAATATGAACAATATACTCATATTTTGAAGAGTCGAACTGGTTATGTAAGAATTGGTTATCTGGAAAGTAATTATTGTAAACATGCTTCTTTACCATTTTAAAGTTATTTTAAGATGTGGATGAGCTTACACAGTTGATCAATTATCTTGTTTACTTTGTACTTACCGACAATACCATTCTTAATAGCCATATGACCTTATGACATAAGGTCTACAATGATAAGTCAATAAAATAGTAAGTATAAAGTTAAGAACTTTTATATAGTAAAATGGAGAAAATAAGAACCCTTAAACGTCCAAAATTTCAAAATATTGTCGGCTTGGTTTGATAGGGCTTGTTCATGGTGATATGGTAATTGAAAGCTATCTTCCACGACCCCTTACACCACCTTGAGTATAGTTCAACCTTTAAGATGTAATGGTGAAATTTTGAATTAACTAAGTTATTTAAAAATACTTGAAAAAAAACCCTAGACAATATGAACAATATAATCGTATTTTGTTGAGTCGAACAGGTTATGTAAGAATTGGTTATCTTGCAAGTAATTCATTGTAAACATGCTTCTCTACTTTTTTAAAGTTATTTAAAGACGTGGATGAGCTTACACAGATGATCAACTATCTTGTTTACTTTGTACTTACCGTATCTGTCATCATTGGTACGAGCGTTTTCTACAAAAGAAAAGTGAATAGTCATAACATTTACTGCTATACAGGATTTATTTCAGAATCAATGTCAATAATTACTCCTAACAAAAATAACTTAACATATGATTAATCTATTCTGAAGCGCCGCATTGCTGCTCAATATGACATAAGGTCTACAATGATAAGTCAATAAAATGTGAAAGTATAAAGTAAAGAATCTTTATATGGCAAAATGGAGAAAATAAGAATGCTTAAAGAACGTCCAAATCATCCAAAATTTTAAAATATTATAAGCTCTGTTTGATAGTGCTTGTTCATGTAGGTTTAGTAATTGAAAGCTATCTGCAACGACGACCCCAAACACCACCTTCAATATAATTCAACCTTTAAGATGTGATGGTGAAATTTTGAATTAAGTATGATTTTTTAAGTAATTTAAAAGTACTTGAAATAAAACCTAGACAATATGAACAATATACTTGTATTTTGTTGGGTCGAACAGGTTATGTAAAAATTGGCTATCTTGCAAGTAATTAATTGTTAACATGTTTCTCTACTATCTTAAAGTTATTTAAAGACGTGGATGAGCTCACACAGTTGATCAATTATCTTTATTTGCCTTGTACTTACCAGATTTGCTATCTCTGTTTGGCCAATTCCCTACAAAAGAAAAGTGAATTATCGTAACATTTACTGCAATATAAGTTTTATTTAAGAATCAAAGCTATTTGAGTGTATCACTCAAATGATTAATGTCAAAACACTTCTTTTGATATTTATTAACCATGTGACCCCAAGAATAGAAGCCCTTTTTAAATTCTCTATTCATACAATCTTCTTACGCGTAAGTCTAACTATATTTAAAAATAAGCTTGTATAAACTCAAGATTTACGTACAACATCAAACACCTAAGCACATTGCATTGTACTGTTATAATTTCTTTACTTCTGTAATTCCACATACTTGAATAAAATACTCAAAATACTGTTCTAAATTTTCTTTCATTTTTTATTTGTTGAAAGTATTCTTAATTCTAGTCTACAATTAATAATTAAGTTCACAGAGTTTTTCTTCCTCGCACATGTTTAACTTGTCACTGAGAATTAACTCTCTAGCTCTTAAAATCTCACACTTGAATCTTGAATCTAGAAGCTCGAATCTTGAATAGCCTCAGAAAATGCTGTACCAGTAATTATATGAAATACCTAATCTCTCCATATTTGAAGGTTACCCGAATGTTAATTGACAAATATAAGCCTTCTATATTTATGGCTACAAGTGTTGACCAAGTTACCATACCAGAACTAAACAGACTGATTCCTGGAATATTTATTATGGTAACCGATTATTGAGTTTCCTAAACACAACAATTGCAGACCTCTTGTCCAGAATTTATGAAGGTTACCGTTGACAGAGTTACCATACTAAAATCTCCAAGACTGATATACAGTCTAGCCAAAACAGATTCATAGTAATAAATAATGACATCAAATAAGGTTTCATTATCATGCAAACTCAATCACTAAATCAAACCATAACCAGGTGCATTGCTATACTAAGGTAAGCTTTCACAAGATAACTGATAATTTATACATGTGTTTCCATTAGTGTTTAAAACCTTCATGTTATGGTTAAATGTAGCATATTTTGTCAAACTACAAATGGCTCAGTTTCAATGACTTTTGTGTCAGAATTACCACCCAGTCCCACTTAAATTTGTAAACACAAATTACATGAATAATCCAATCTTTACATAAAATAACACTAACACCTCATTATCTCTTAAGTATGGCATATTATTGTAAACTTGTGATAATTAATGGAGTCGGAATGTCATAAAATCCCGGTTCAACAAACGTTACATCGCGAGTTCACCATCGTACAGTCGCGTTTTAATCAAAGTATCATCACACTTTTTACCATTTTTATATTATGCATCACGGGATAAAGCAAAGGAAAAGATCATAGTTGTTTTAACGTATCATCGTACTTGCATGTATATTCGGCAGTCTGTTGTATCATCTGTTATACCTTTAATCATTAGAATACCGGAACCGCTAGAAAAGAATCAGACTTTGCCCAAGTATAGGCACTACTGTCATGTAGACTTAACATGTTATAAAATGTGGGTCAAATAATACTGTGATCAGTTTACAAGAAATATGTATAATTGTCAAATGGCAAGAACAACGCTCCATTACTAAATTTTATTGTGTCAAAAGTTTTACTAGTGAGCTAGTATTGCCCAAGCTGGTACAAAGTACTTAAAATGGTTCAAATCAATATACAAATTTAAATTATTTGCAATACGATGATCAAATAAATAAGCATTTTTAACATGGTAATCTTTTCGTGTTTTGAACATATGTGGATCAATTCCAGGATCTTCCCTTGTTTTATTATTTTAATTGTATTTTTAAACAATAAGATGATTGCTTTGAATTTCCAAAAAGTGTTTAGGCTCATGACTTTTTGAGTGAGTTGACAAGTCTTTTACAATTGAGAATAGTTATATAAGGATATGGGAATAGTATTATCCACCCAGGCATTATGTGAAAAAGTGTTGATTGGTGTAGATTAGATGGTATTGATTTCACAAAAAAATGTTGTGGTGTATTTAAAGTGGGAGAAAGTCCTCATGTCTGTCCATTCCAGGACACAATTATGAAAACTTATGGTACATTTTTAATTGTTATATAAGCTTGAAACAGAGGGATTCGAGCTCACCTAGTATCTCCATGCTCTTCGTCAATGACCAACCTTTTAAGCAATATTTACGAATACTTGGAAGTGCTTTTACCTTAATCAAACTTAGACTTTTTCTCATTTTATTTGATGGCAACCAAGCACTCTTGCTTAATCCACAAACTCTCAACAAGCAATGTTATCGGATTTAAAATCATATCATACATGGGATTTTCAATAAGTACGTCTGAAACAAAAAGGAATAATTTTTGCAAAGGCAAGGATGCTCGCCATATGCTGTTCCAGGTTTTTAAAGTTATCAAACTAATGTAAATTGTTTTCTCCATGTATGTCCCTTCTACACAGAGCTTCGAAGAAATTATTTTTAACAACACTACTGCAACTGGCCAACTCCGAATACTTGAAAGTGTTAAGTCGTCTGATACAAATGAAATTAGGTGCGAAATATATCATATTTGATTTCATTACAAATAAATACCGCGGTAAGGTTATTTTTTCGAAGAAAAATAGATGTTGATCACTTCGTTTAGTTGTAATAATAACCGAACAGAAAACGAATTCTAAATAATATTTATTATAATGCAAAACCAAGCAATTCTAATAATGGAAATTGTTTTATTTTTCTATTATTATTATTGTCGGTTTAAAAGAATATATACAGTAATTGATAAAAATTACATTCAGAGGTCTTAATATGACATATTAATCTTTAAACGATTTATTGTTTTATTTCATTTGCTATACGCGTTATGTAAAGATATCCGAAACACTTAGTATATGTTACAAATTAAAATTGATGTTTTATTCTTATAACAGTTTTTAAGGTAGAATGCGACACTTTGCGAACTTTCGGGTAGCGTCTTAAAAATTAGCATGCAAATAGTTGACCATATTTCTGCTTAGGTTTCGTTCATTTTTTTCAATAGTTTCAGCCAATTTTTGTACACACAGCGTCAAAGTTGACCATCAAAGCCCGTTTTTGAACATGACGTCCTTGGCAACTGTTACGGGCATTTCAACGCCATTGGTGGACAAAATATCTTAAATTCTACAGCATTCGACGGAATTTTTTTTTCCTTTAAGCTGATATAAAATTTATCGTTTTACGCCGAAAAATGTTTGGAAAATGGAAAAAGAATTGTCAATTTTGTGTAAAATTTGACATTCAGTTTAGCCGCAATTTTTGGCTTTAATGTGGCTTATTAAAAAATTCCTGAAATAAATGTTTGATTTTTTTCTTTAAACGTTCTTTAAAGTGTATACTTAGTCAAAATAACTAAACAAATTAGGGGGTCACCGACTCAATTTTTTCGGTACACGTGGTTTTATTTCCCCCACCTCTTGAGTAATTTTCAAACGAAATTCGACGTATGCAGATACGTTTGAGACTTCAAAGTGCGGCAATAATGTTCAGCTTATCAGGAGAATCTAGAGCTTAACTTATACATATGAAACAACAACAACAATGTTCCATTGCAAATGCTTAAAATTTAAAATGAGACCTGACGATGATAAAGCATATTTCCATTTAAAATCTTAGCGTGGGATTTAGGCGTTGATATTTTTTGCTTATTCATAACATACGCGTTTTTTACGAGCACGTCACAATTTCTTACTGATATATACTCGATTTTCTGATCAGAAGCAAAGACTGGAACCCAGGCTATTAAAGTCTAAATACAGATACATTTCAATATAACGGGTTACTTGAGCAAAAAGGAAATGTAAGCAGTGAACGAAACTTGCTAGATATGTAACAACAATTGTATAACTATCATTGGCTTGGTCGAAGTGCAATTTTATTGAATTTATTATCGCCTTTCCATTTTGTGACGTTTATGTTTGCTGAAAATAAAGTACGAAAAACAAACAAATTTTTTTCTTGTTTTTAAGCATGATTAATAACTTCATAATGAATTGTAAAATGACGAATGTACAGAAAAGGACGTCAGGCGTTCAACGGCAACGCGTACGCTGCGCAAACAAATACAGCGGATACTTGTCATTGCGGTGTAACTTTTTGATATTGTAATACATTAAAATTAATAAACTTGAATCGAGAAATATGCCATAAGGAGCAAAAAGCAACTATATATTTTTATGTAAATTTAGAAATTTACGGAAATTCCATCATAAATTAAAACGTAGTCTACCAAAAATTCTGCAAAGCTATACATTTTGTATTACCCACACTATGAGTGATATACTGTGAGTAACATGTATTTTATTCCACCTATTAAAAACCAGATTTTGAATTTCATTTGTCAGCAAAAACTATTACAACAATTTGACAGAGTATATGCTAAATAGCTGTGCGAAATATTGACAAATTAAAATATACGGTTCATAAATGAAATTTAGTCAATTATATGAGCGTGAAGTGTTCGAAACGTTAGCTCAGTGGGTGTTAGATTACAAATGTAGCACGTTCGATTCTACAAGTAAATAAACATCTTTCATACATTTTTTCTCGTTTTGCTTATCATTTTAGAATATCATAATGTTAAAAATAACGTTTAATTGAGGATTCCCCATAAACGCTGTATTAAAAGCATCACTATCAAACCGGCCTTTGCAAATATTCATTATTCACTGTATTGCCAAATATATGGTAGAATTTATGGTAGAATTTATTTTGAACACGAAAACTTAAAAACAGTATTTTAACATGAAATATAATGAAACGCTGTAAATAAACGTCTGCGGATGTTTAACAGAACATATATAGCGAACCAGGCGGTCCTGAGCTAGATACTGCACATGTTAATCTTTATACAAAATAAAGATATTTCAATATATATATTGTCATTTTTTATCAGTACATACTACGGGCACTGTAGAGGATCTGTCGGGGTGTTTATTATGTTCTGTTCACCGACCATTTAATCAGTATGCAAATGACATGTTAATAAAACCGGGAAATATTACATTTTACTCAGTTTTACCAAAGACATCTAGATAACTATCAGTTATCTATGTCTCTGGTTTTACTATTTAAAATGTTATGGGGACAAATGTCAGATCAGACTATTATTTAATACCTCTTGTAGAAAGAGAGTCCTTCTGAAGTACAAAATGTATATTTACAAGACTAACAAAAATCATATTTTGGTAATATCTGGCCTTGTAATTAAAAAAAATGTATTTTAGTAAATACGGACATCATAGTTCCCATATTACGAGTGTACGGATCACTGTATATTAGTCATATACGTATTGCATGATATACGGTCCCGTACATCTACGTATTCAAATTTCACTTAGTTTTGCCTGTCTATCTATAATATTCGGAATTCGGAATTCCGTACCCATTATTGTATCCATATATTTTCCGCAGTGGTCATAATGGCGTATAATTCCGTTTATAGCGGGATTTTGACACAGGGCGATCGTTTTAATGACATAAAAATAACAAACGCCCCGTGATAGCGTGACTTTTGTCCAGGGGTGGGGGAAATAAAATCACGTGTACCGAAAAAAAATGAGCAGGTGACGCCTATTTTGTTTAGACATTTAGACTGAGTATACATTTTAAAGTAGGTTTAAAGAAAAAAATCAAAAATTTATTTCAGGAATTTTTTAATAAGCCACTTTAAAGCCGAAAAATGCGGCTAAATTGAATGTCAAATTTGACAAAAAATTGACAATTTTCTTTCCATTTTTCAAACATTTTTCGGCGTAAAACGATAAATTTTATATCAGCTTAAAGGAAAAAATAATTTCCATCGAATGCTGTAGGATTAAAGATATTTTGTCAACCCGTACCCGTAACAGTTGCCAAGGATTTGCAAAGACGTCATGTTCAAAACACGAACTTTGATGGTCAACTTTGACGCCGTGTGTACAAAAATTGGCTGAAACTATTGAAATAAAATCAACGGAACCTAATCAGAATTATAATCAACAACTATTTGCATGCCAATTTTCAAGACGCTACTCGATAGTTCGCAAAGTGTCGCGTTCTACATTAAAATGTAAAAAATTTAAAACGAAATTGTTTAAAAATCAATATATAATGTAATGGAAAATTGATAATTATTGACAGAAACTTAAGTGCTCATTTTCAGTAAGGTTTCGAATTAAAATCGTTGATAGATATGACAGTTGAATTATTAATATATATATATATATATATATATATATATATATATATATATATATATATATATATATATATATATATATATATATATATATACACAAAAAATGAAAACAAGTGCCGGAAAAAAGTCACATATAAATAAAACAAAAAACACAGTCCATGAGTTAACTTCTTTAATTATTTGCCAACCGGTTGCTCTTAAGATCATATATATACATATTATATACATGATATAAAATAGTAGTAAGCGTAATAATTTACATTAGCTAAGCAAATTGCTAAGTTAAAATAGCAAGCACATAAAAAAACAAAGCAATTTCAAAACAAACAAACAAAAAACATAACAAGTCACTAATAAAAAATACATAATATTTAATATAAGATTAAAACGGTAATTTGCTCAATATGATAGTAATCTTATCAGTGTCATACAGATTTTAAAGATATTGCAGATAGTTATAGCGATTAAGTAATAAGGGACGATAATCAAGTATGTCGTAAAGCATGCGTAACATAAATTCATACATAAAGTCATTTTTGTATCAAACATAAACATAAAGTCATCAATAATTAAAGGTGTTTATTGATTCATCAAGACAGACGCGTCACACATATCATGTCAGTATGTTGAATGTGACAAAAATTGTTTCATTTATAGATACAAAAAGTATATTTTAAAAATTATATACCTTGTACTCAAAAAGGAATATGACATAAATCTATCTTGTCAAAAACATTAATCAAAATAAATAAATAAGACATGCAACAATTCCACTTTGAATTTTTCACACTTGAAATAAACATTTCTAGTTATTTATGTTTCAGAATTTAATGTTGTTAATATTTTCAACCGAGTGTAACAAAATAAGCTAGGTCTTACATGCGCTGTATATAAAACCGTCCGAATGCAGACCATCCCGGCGGTGATGTCTTCATACATGTGCAAATATAAGGAGGGATTCATCTTCTTAAACGCTACGTCTATAGACTGATCCTAAAACGCATACAGTAAACACTAGTAAGAGTGAAAATCAACGAAGTACGCAATACACATTACAAAATATAAGATAGGTACAAACTAATTATGTTCTATATTATTCATTTAAAAAGAGAACTAATATCCTTTTCCCAAGAAACTGTACAATATCAATAGACTTAACAATCAAGAAGAAGACAATTCGTCGCCTAACAAGCAGCATGATTCCCTTAAAATATAGTTGCCACGCAACGTACCAATGTATTGATTGTTCCCTTATTACTCTTGTTTATTTTGATAAGATAAAATTAGGTTCGGATTGAAGTTCAGGAAAAACTTTCTTTTGCCGCGCCCAGTACTTCTATCATGTATGAATGTATGTTCCCTGCCATGGTTTCCCAACCTAAGATATCATAGTTTGCTCTTGTTATTTACCTTGTACATTTAATTTCCTTTATTCTTTATAATAATTCTTTATTATTTAAGTTTTTTTTACCGAAAAATACATGAATTTATACGCTTTAATCCCAGCTCATCCTTAGATAAATTATAATATTTATTGTTTTTTCTTTAATGCAACATTGTCCCTTTAGTAAATAGTGAAATTTTCATCCAAATATCTTAATAAATAAGTTTTTGAGCGAGTAATGAAGTTCGTGAAAAACACAACTTTAGTTTGCTGCGCGCAGTATTTATAGCGGAACAGTAAGCGTGTTTTGTAACCTTGGTTTATCTACCAAATATATATTTGATTGTTTTAATTGTCTATATTGTTTATGTAATTACCTTTGTATTGGTTCTAAATTATCCATGTATGTTTTAATAGATACCATTGTATTTGGAACTACAGTTTTAGTGAGTGTCACCCTTTTTATCGGACTTTAAGCTTTTTTCCCCCGAAAAGTGCATGTATTTGTACTGCCAACACATCCTTAGATATATTATATCATTTATTGGTCCTTTTTTAATGCAACATTGTCCTCTGCCATTCAGTGAAATTTGCATTCTTGCATTCAATTGTCTTAATAAATAAGTTTTTGAGATATAAATGAAGTTAGTGAAAAAATTGACCTGAATTTGTTGCCCGCGCGGTATTTAGTGCGGAAACAGTACGCGTGTTTTCTCGACCTGTTCTCTTTACATACTCTATCAGTAATTGATTTTATTATCTGTTTTGTAGTTATAGTTCCTTACATGATGATCTTTGCAAGCGACTTGGTTAGAGCTGACTGTACATGAAATTAACCAACAGATATATATACAAATAAACCATCATTTGCAAGAAACATACATTAATTTATATAGTTTCATAAATTACAAGTAAATAACTTAAGTCAAAGTACAAGACAATTTGCTAGAAAAAATGGATCACGTACACCTAATATCTGATTCCTTAACAAAACGTTTAATAAAAATCTTAAATTTTTCTTCTTCGGACATGTTGACAGTCGGTAAACCAAGCGCTGAATGAATTTGCAACGCTATTCCGAAAATCACGTGCTGATTTAGGCGCGAATAGCGCCCTCATGTGATCCGACAAGAACAATACTAGGGGAAATAATTTTCTTCTAATGCACTTTGTTTAAACGAAGAAAATTTCATTCCTAAGTTAAAAATACAAAAACACGTGCTGAAGAAAACATTGCAGCTCTTGTTTATTGACTGATATAGAATTATTTACTTAAAAAGTGGAGGGCAAAAGTGAAGAAAAAGTTATTAGTACCAGTAATAATTAACTTTTGTCATTGTTATTACACTGAATTAATATGAATTATGATAAGTTTTGGTAATAGAAATGTACGTCGCTAAATCCTTGTTTATTAAGGGTCCTGATTCCCTAGGCTTCCTGTCAGAGAACTCTTTCTGTTAAAACATCGAATGCATTTAGGCAATTTTCAGAAAATAATGTGTTATTTACTCGGGGTTATGCAGACGCTTTCAGTAGATAACTCTGAACCAGTGTAGAGGCAGATTCAAGCGTTGCGTCTGCATAATACTGATTTAATTAGTTTACGAAATATAGCCCCTTATTAGTAATAACATATACTGTTAAAATACATATAGCACCCTTGAACGTAATGATGATCAACAATCCGTTTACACATGCGTATTAAGGTAGTGACCTCCTTACTTTAACGATTGAACATATTTTACTGCTAGTTTGTGCTAGTTGTTAATCATTTTGGAGTATCAAATCAGTAAGGCGTGACCAATAAAGTCCCTAGGATGATCCATAACCAAATACGGATGCCGGGATCATAAATATTTTGACACCCAACAAAAGTGACGTAATATATGCACCCTGTGGCCAAGTGGCGCTAACATATACAAATCTTTTTTATATACAAGTAGAGATTTTGATGCTAAAGCATCAAGTCGCCGGATAGAAAATGATTGTTTTATCATAAAGAAAATATCAGTTTAATCGTTCAAATATATAGAAAAGAGGAAAAATATGTCGAGTAATGTTTGCCACCGAGGCTTGTTAGGCAAGTGATATGCTGGTAATTCAACTTGAAATTCTACTTTATACATATACTGTTGTACCATACATTCCGTATGGGTTACTAGTTCAGAATCCGATAATAACCGACAAGTAATTACCGATCATCGAATATTTGCAAAGTGACTATGCAAATATATATGTTTAATTATTGCATGAAACAATGCAATTCTACTGTAAAAGTATTGTCCATCATTATTGTGCGGTATCGAAAAAATATATAATTAAGTTAAAATCAATACATGTATTACCATAGGAACATACGATATAATTAACGTTTAATTGCCTTTCAGTGCGATAAACTATCAACACAAAGATAGTTTATTATTTTTTTCTATGTATCTAATACGATTCCGGACCACTACCGTCATACCGTTATGGAAAACTGCGCGACGGAAACCGATGGAATATGACGAAATCAACGATTACCATTACATATTTCAATAATGTGCCTCTTAAGCGTAAAATTATTTAGTGATGTTCAACCTAAACTAAACTTTTGGACGTTCTTGTCAAAAGTTTGACAGAACGGACTAAGTTAAACCCTTTACCAAGAAAAAGGGAAAATGTTTTGAAATTCTATTTTTAATGTGTTGAATATGAGTATTCTGGATTTCCTAATGATATAAAATATGAAATTGATAAATGGAAAATAATTTTGTAATTATTTATACAAAAATACAATGATTTGCATCTTATCAGCCGCCATAGCTTTTGCCAACCATTAACAAGTTATCTGTATGTCTTATCAGCAATCTGTTACTATTAATAGATTTTATAACCATACCATACAACGTGTAGTCACGTGATTCTTACAAAAAGAAGAGGAAGAATTTGTTTATAATTAGAAAAATAATGAAATATAATAGGTCTCATAAGATATAAACAACCAAATAATTTAAAAGTGTCGTTGCAATTATCATTCATGATTTATATATCATAGCATCCCTTAATATTATGACTGATCCTTATGGGATACATTATTGATTCATTTTATGAAAATTATTATGTTGCTTTTTAAGATGTCAATATGTGCATATTTCATTTCATTAAGCAAAAATATCATATGTTTCAGTTTTTGAGATTACTGAAAAACAATTGTGGTCTTTAATTGTTCAATGATTGATATACTTTTATTTTCAGATTTTAAGGGCTTCTCTTACCATACGTATAATAATAAACTGTTACAAATATAGTCGCTGGTTTCTACCTGCGACTTATTAAATAAGTTACCGAGAAAAGGAATTATAAGAATATATAGAGGATATTGAATGAGTGTAGTTTAATACTAATTTTATTGGACGATTTGAATAAAATCATATTATGCGAGCCTCTGGTGAGCATAAAATTGTTTTATTCAACGAGTTCAATAAATTTAGTATTGAATATACACGAATATAATATTCTATTTATCACATATATAAAATAAGAACAGTAAACTGTTAAAATGAGTAATTGTTCAATGACGTGCCCATAGTGTAACGCTAACATTAGCGCGCTTTAACGCTATGTTTCTTTATTTTATGCTTTTCAGTGGATTACTGATTTATCCGTGAAAATTATATATGATAATTTCACAGTGAAAATCATCAAAATATAATTTCACACTTTTCAATGACGAAACTATTTTTTTAAGATTTTCCCTATGTGGTACCTCAATTTTAATTTTGCTGACAATTCTGACAATGACAGGCTGTTAAAGAAAAAGCAAAGCTGAAATTGATAAATAACTTAAATGTCAAAAGTAATAAAAGAAGAAACTTTACTTATATTCATTCAAATTACAATAACCAAATTTCGTCTCTAAATTTTTTGGTTTCATTTTTACAGTATAAAAAATACATTCCTTCCACATGCAAGACTGCTCTTGATGACATTTGGGCATATTAAAGTATCCTAAGAGCAATAATTGCCGTATGCTTTATGAAGATTTGAAAAGCAATGACAGCCATCACTCGAAAAATAAGTAAAACAACCCAGCGTTCCTTGGCCAGCTTCCAAGTTTTCCATTTTCCTAGCTGTTTTGAATGTTTTCACATCTGTCAACACTTATTTTTTTGTCTGTTACAATCCTCAAATAAGTTTTCTTTCTTTTAAAAAGGTGTATGACTAACAAATCCAAATGAAATCCCTCTGAATCATACACAATTATTTTCCTCCCGTGAAATACACAACTTTAAAAAATGGCTGCCGTTTACATTTTACAAAGCCAGGTCAAATATAAATTCGCAGTAAGTAACAGAAATATGGATGGATGGTTTGACTTTTTCTCCTACAAGAATTGTTTGTTTTTAATTAATTAAAACAAGCGATCATTCATATTTTTTTAATAAAATGAATAATATCACCGTCATTTAACGTTGATTGTCGGACTTATTTTTCAACTCAAGACTTCTTGTTTTTAATGAGAAATTCCGACTAAATGGGGCTCTCAATGGGGAGAACAGATTTTAACGTTAACGTAAATATTATGGATATTACGTTTTAACTTGTTTTTAAGCATAAAATAAAAAGAAAATGTGTTTGTTTGTTGTGTAAGATGTAATTTTATTACATCTCGTGAACTTTATAAACAGGCTGACTTGATATCACAGGTTCCTCACCGCTGTAGGCTCGATCCTCACTCGGATCAAAATCTTTTATGTGAGGAAGCCATCCAGTTGGTTTACGGAAGGTCGGTGGTTCTACCCAGTTGCCCGCACGTGCCTGTAATAATGCCCGGGGGGCACCTGGGGTCTTCCTTCACCAATAAAGCTGGAAAAAAATCGACAAAAACATCTCGGCGGGACGCTCTAGGATGGTCCGACTTGAGTGTACGGTCGCCCATATAGGCTTTCCGGCGGCGACCTTAAATAAACGCATTAAAAAAGGACTTTTCCCTAACACAAGTTCCCATAGACTCTTAAGGTGAAGTTGTTCTGAAAGCTGTCGTATCATTTTCCATACAAATTATTATATTTCATACAAATATATTGCCGGTCCCGAGTCGATATCTCATACGCTAAAACAAAACTTAAGAAAAAATTAAGTATTTTTTAAACCGCTATTTTGTTGTGATTTAATGTCTGATTTTAAAATGTATTATACCAATGGAAAGCTTGGGATCATAGCTTCATCACAGTATATATACTTCAACACATCTTTTGACACCAAAGTATTTTAATAAGCTGTTAATCCTACCGTATGTCATACCATTTGAAATACGATTTATACATTGTGAAAAGCACCCGGTTAAACTACTGATAAGAATATCCTGTATATGCTAACGTGCCTATCAAAATGAATAGATACAATGTATAATTTATAATCGAAAAAGATACGTTCTAAATGAGCTATCTTTCCCAGCAGGCACTCGACTTTGTTTCAACGTTGATACAACGTTGAAATATGGTCGTGACGTTGTTCAACCAATATTCAACTATGGACGACCATACGGATTATTGCCAATGTATATACAACGTTGATTCAACGTTGTTTATGGTCGAAGTTTTACATTTAATTTAGTTATTACATATAAAACTTTTATACCACTACTTTGTGTTATTGTTCCTTTATTGAATTAGTCTGTAAGTGATTTTTGTCAGGAAAATTTGCGTTACAATCTTTTTCCGTATATTCAAAATTAGCGCTTAAACAAATAAAGTTGGAAATAATTTTTCACTTTCTATTAACGCTTTAAATATTAGTAAATAAGTTTTGTTGTTTGTTGTTTTATTTTTTAGTTCTTTATGAATAATATTAATTAATAAATTGATATTAGTCAAAACCCCGTTTATAAAATAACGCTGGTCAGGGGAAGTAATTTTGTTGCGGTCTATGATTATCGTTCGTGCAATTGGTGGCGCTGTTTGGAAAATTTGAAAACAACACGATTGGCAATTTATTTGGATTTCGAAGGTATTACCGTAATGTTTTACTTTAGTTTACTGATTATTTTCTAAAATATTATTATTTATTCTTAAATTCTACTTTAATTTACTTTATGAAATAAATGAGAGATGAAAACACATCATTGAGTTGATTTGACACGTTTTCGCGACCTAATTGAATGATTTGGGTTCGGTTGGCCTTGTTAGCATGAAGTTATTGATGTCCTTGGCAATTTATGATTTTACAAATCTTGTCTTTCTTTAATTTATTTTTCATATTATTAAACATTTGTCTGTACTATATCCTAATTAGAATTTAATCAATTATAAAATTGAAACCTATAAAGTAGTTCGGCCCACATAATTTACGTCCCAAGACGATTCGTCAATATATATAACTATGTTTATATTTTAGTGATAATATAATACAGTGTTAATTAGTTTGAAAAAAATACATTATTATTAAGTTAAATAACAAATTTGAGTGTTAAACTTTAAAGTAAATTTATGGGGAATAATAAATCTATTTCTATTTATTATATATTATTTTATATTCTAGATCCTGGTCCTGGCTGAAATTTAGAGTATTGCAGCTGTAGCATGTATACCATACATTCAACATGAAAAGGACTGTCAGGTTTGTTAAATTGAAATTTATTCTTATTAATTTATATATTTGAATTTCTTTACAATACAAACTATAAATTTTTCAACCACTGGATATTTATCTTGTCTTAAAATATATTATTTTCGGAATATTCCTGTAACATTATATATATTAAATTTACATGTTTGTTGATTTCAGGATGCTGCATAAAATGGTCTTAGCTAGAGCCTAGAATGTTAATTTCTTGGGAATATGCTGCAAGGAACTGACAGGGAGCAGTTTTTCTTACCAATCATAGGTGAGACTTTTGAATAGCTTCTTTTTATAAAGATTTTGTTGTCTTATATACAGTATTTGCTGTCAATATGAAACTTAGCTATGTTTCAATTTCTATGCTGTTTTATGATGTAAATATTAGAGAAAAGCATTTTAAGATAAAAACAAATCACTAAGTTGAGTAATTATATGTATAATTTGAGATTGACCAAGTCACTTTTTACTACAAACTTCTTATTTTTATTTGCAGAAGAAGTAAGAGACAGCCAAAGAAGTACTCAAACACTTGACATACCCAGAAAGATCTAGAAGAAAAGATTGGAACAGATTGTAGCTTAATTGTTAAAATTATTAAAGTGAATTAAAGCTGCACTTGAACTGTATTTTTGAAATAAAATATCTGAAGTATTTAATATTGTCTTGATATTTTAAACTTGGTTACTTTGCTTTATATTCAAAAATTAAAGTATGGTGGGTTTTCAACGTTGAAATGACATTGAAAATTCAACGTTGTGCCAACGTTGAAGCTGCAACGTTGTATCAACGTTGAAATTTCAACGTTGTTTCAACTTTCAAATCCGAATATAAATCCAACCTTATTTCAACGTTGGAATCTGACCATAATTCAACGTTGAAACAACGTTGATGTGCCTGCTGGGTTGTTTTATTTAATTAAGTTTGTAATTAAATGCGTTTTCATTTATTTATTCTAGACTAAACACGATTTAAAGGAAATGAATTGTTTTTTTAAAATAGACACGGAAGATACAAAAATTGAAAGAGAAGGAGATATGTTATCATAAGTTTCATATCAATCGGTCGGCGAAATATTTGCAAGACTGTTGGATAATTTTATCAAAGGGAACGTTTTCACATTTATATGTTCATGAGAATTTTGAATATAATTTTACAGTTTTTAGTTTAATCTTGGGAGTTAAATCAAAATTATTTGTGATTTCATTGTCGTAAAAATATCGTCTAGCATTATTCATTAAATATATCAATAATCATTAAACGCCTCCGATAAGACGTAGAAACAGTGCCGCTAAAAATTCGTCTGCTAATTACATGTACCGACAACAAACGGGTATCGGTGAGCTCTTGCGTTTTCCCTAAACTTTAGGCATATCAACAGTTCTGAAGATATCTCATATTGTAGAGAAATATATATATATATACAATGCATTCAAATCTTCAAAGCTATTTCTTTTTCGTTTGTCCGTATTTGTTTCTACACATATATGACCGATACGCAGCGTATGGAAACTGTGTTTTTCACGAGTTTCATTTATTACTTTAAGGTATTTCTATGAAATATTCACTATATTGTAGGGACGAATGCATACTTCAAGATAAATAAATGCATTTATAGATTCTTCTGTCCGTTTGTCTGTTATAATAGATATAAGTTACTTGTGTGTCGCACAATGTGTGTCCAGAAATGCATTAATAACTGGAAAAACTAAAAACGCTTTTCATGAAGTTTAAGTCTTACGCAAGACGTTATTTACAAAGGCATGTATAAGTTATTCAATATATTGTAGAGACGAATGTATCTGTCAAGATACAGAAATGCATCTTTGAACATCTCTGTCAGTTTGTCTGCTATAATAGCCACACATACATACATATTTCAGAAAAGAAGGACAATGCATATAAAATCGGTGTATTTCATAATTTTTTATTATCAAGTTTGCCATAATTTATTATTAATAAGAAATCTTCATGAAACATATACCATATTGTTGGGACATCTGAAAACTTACAGGCAAATAAAGACAATCCTAATAAATATGTTTGTTTAGCGAGATAGTGGGGGAAAATGCGCGCCGCGAATAAAAAAAAACAGTGTTTTTCTTGATATTCAATTCGTACGCAGGACGTTAGTTGCAATGTTTCTCCATATTATGATATTAACTATATTTTAGGGACGAATGTATTTTTCAAGAATCAGAAATTTACCTTGAAACAACTCTGTCCATATGCCTGCTATAATAGCCACAATAACATACATAAGTTTCAGAAATGTCAGACAATTCAAATCGGTGTATTTCATAATTTTCAATAATCAAGTTTGACTTTATTTGTTAAGATATCTTTTTAAAACATATACCATATTGTAGGCACACATGTATTCTTTAACACAGATAAATGCGTTTATAAATATATCTGTCCGTTGTTCTGTGCTTTAGTTCAGAAATACAGGGATAATTCGGACAATAGAATAAAATCGGTGTTTTTTCATAATTTTTAATTATTATGTGTTGATGTATTCATTAAATTATCTTTATGAAACAAAAATCATATTGTAGGGAAACATATATACATTACGATAAATGAATGCATTCCTAGATATATATATGTCCGTTTTTCTATGATAGTGTCCAGAAATACATTATTAATAGGGAAAAACATGCCCTGCAAATAAAATTAGTGTTCTATATAACACTTAAAATATTAAAATGTATTGAATATGTAGATCAGTTCGCATTTATCTTGATTAATAGCTCGTGATCTAATGGTCGTTCTTTAAAATTGAGAGAAAATATTTGAATATTTTTGGATTTAAAGCTATTTTTTCAAGTGATAATTTAATATTATTGCGTGTAAATGCAACTTGAATATGGATATAATATTACATAATGACTAAAGCAAAAAATAAGAAGAGAAAGGATAGAAACAGTAGTGACAATGAAAATAATACAAGTAGTAGGAAAATATGTAAACAAGGAGGCCCGTCAGGGAACTCGTATAGTGATGATATATGATTAAGTGAAGTGTTAAATTCGACTAATTCTGTCCTTTATGGGGAGCAAAATGTTAACGATAGTGTGTTTTTAAATACGGATAATACGAATAATAGTGTGGTTATACCGATAATGGCGGAAAGTTTCAATGGCGCTGAACCCACAAATAGAGATTTGATGAATCTCTTGGAGAATGTTAGTAGCCGTCTTGAGAATGCGGAGAAGAAATAAGGTACTATGGAGGCCACTGAGAAGAAGATAGGGGTTATGGAGAATGACATTAAGAAGCTGTGGGTGACGCTTGAAGTTAAGGTGATATAGGTTGATGAACGGGTAGTGCTGTTGGAGGACAAGGTTGACGGGGCTGACATACACGTAGCAGAGATGGCGAAGCGGATACAGGATCTAAAGAGGCAAAGGGGATTTTTTGCGTGAGACGTGTCGAAATCTACAGTCCCAGCCCCACGAGGAACAATTGTTTTTTCGTCGGTAACCCCGGAGAACAAACTAAGGGTAACGAATCCCCGGGAAATTACGGGAGGATTACTAGCAAACACCCTCCAAAGATGCATTTAAGATTTAGAAAGGGAATTTGGGCCAAATTCGACCCTTTTTTCGAGCGAGGGGGCACCCGCTCTCCTGGGTTTCATGTGGCGGGAAAAAAGTTAGAAATGTTGTGGCCAAATTCACCTACTTTAAGGACAGGGAAATGGTACGTAAACTATTGAAAGAGAACGAATGAACATTATTTCGTGTCTTTGAAATTCCCACAGGATGTTATTCAAATCAAAGCACTGAAATATAAATTGCTTGATAACATAATCCATTTTTATCATCAAGACCATGATGAGTTTAACCTACATACCTCAAAAACAATAGAGGTCATCTTCTGACCAGGGTCAAACAAGTGACTCACACCAAGTCTTTTTTCTTACAAGGTTATTAATGAGACAAGGAAGATGAGATGTTTCATCTATGTATAGCTAGGCAAGCTGATAGATCAGCAATAAAGAAATCATTTTTTGAAACACCCGTTAAATGGACTGCAGTATAGAATATTGTAACAGTAATATTCAGTCTTCAGTGATGCTATCTAATTAAAGATATGACCTGGCTTGAACTCTATACAAAGTCAATTAATTGAATCATCCTACAAGACTTAATTACCAAATTAAAGTACATCCTTTTGTATAGCTTTCCATGTTACAGATCTATGTACTGTACTTTGATGCATTTATATATATTCTGGTGTGTTGTATTCATATCTACACATTAATTTTCAAATGAATCACTTTATCGTTTATTAATAAAAATGAAATCTATAATAAAATCAGTTCAAATGTACTGTAATATGTTCATTATTCAATAATTGTTACATATAGTTTTCATATACAACCTTTCCAAGAAATTCATTTATATTTGACAGCAAGTTAACAAGTTTTTCCATATTTAGGCTGTGTTACCAGCTTCTTAACTTTAGATACACAATTCACATAACAATATTGAGCTAAAACAATTTTCTATTTTGGCTACGGTGACCAAATTCTGATTTTCAACCAAGATGATCCATGTTCAAACTAGGACACACATTCTTACCAAATTTAAAGGCAATTGGGGCAAAAGTGTGACCAGTAGAGTGTTAAACTAAATGACCAGTAGAGTGCTAACTAAATGTCATCGTCGGATACACATGGTTGATTAACATTTAACATGACATAACTGTTAAATGTAAATGATTCGGCCGTGGGTATCCGACGATACTAAATGTGGACAGAACAGAAAAGAATAGACATTTTTATTTGAGATTGTACATAATACATCGTCCTGCAATATATATATATATATATATATATATATATATATATATATATATATATATATATATATATATATATATATATATATATATATATATATATAAAGAAATGATGAGAAATATATACACACATACCACCACATCGATATGCCAGTCCAATTACGGCACAGCGCCTAGCAGAACAGTCATGAAAGCATAGCCACTGCTCATCCACCATCACAAAAATGATGGTTTCAGAACAGCTTTATATACAGTCACAAACTGCACTACACATTGAAACAAGCTCAACATTCACATATATAGAGTTTGTTCTCTGTTATCATATCTCACAAATCAACGATGACATTTTTATTGTCTTCTTCTTTATATATATATAAAATACAATATATCATGTCACTTGGTAATTTTACACATAAAAAATATATTGATTGCACAAAAATACAAATTAAGTACAACTAAGCAGGAATTGTTTTCGAGATTTGTGCAAACGTTTATCATCATACAATAAACACATATATGCAATCATATAATTTAAATTGCAAAAAATTTGCTAAATGTGGACAGACCACAGTTGACATAAGATGGATGACCGACATTCAACAATTCTAAAAGCTCACCCTGGGTCAGCCTATAAGTTTCACCATTTAAATAAATAATATTAAGATAATAAAAATAAATAATGCGTAATGATTTAGATGATGAGTAGCCATTATATCAGCAATAAATTGCTTTTCTATATATGCTTTTTACTACGTACGTTCATATAGCATAAATATAAAACGACTGCTGGATTATATTTTTACTATAAACAAATAAAAAGTAAAAGTTTATTATTTAAAAGATTGAAAAGTCTAATTTTATGTTTTTTTTTATTCATATACCTTTCTTATCGCGCGTCAATGAAGTTTTCGGCTTTTCCATGTTTTTAACGCTGACTGTTACATAGCCGGAAAAAACACAAGTTTTTCACACTGTATTTATTACAAAAATATAACTGATGTTTCACAAATAAATAAAATTTAATAAGTAAATAATTAATAGGAAATATAATCTTTTATATTCTTTTCGATATAATGCTGACAATTGATAAATTTATTGATCGGAAGTGTGAAAAACAATTACTCTAGTGATTCAAATGGAAAAAAATAATTGTTATTGCCTGTGGCATGTGTTTTTTTGGCTTTTCTACGTGCGACAGCCTTAATATTTCTTTATTTAAAGTGTTTTTCGGTGTTTTTTTTTTGGCAATTCCATGCACTCATTAATATAAACAGATTAAAATAATTCCCATTTTCTGAACATAAATTTAATGTATTTATTTCTTAATGCTAACACTGATTTGCAGTTAGTTTCAAATGATTATTAATTATATTCGCCTTTGACCACAGATGCCTATATTTAGCTACATGCTCTGGCTTAATCGTCAATATTCCAAGTCCGACGAATAAATGTTATGGGTCGAATGGTCGTGTGGCCGAATCTTTATTTTTACCCGTACTGAATCAGGCAATAAACGCTGAATTTCGAAACATATAACTTTTCAAAATCTCAGGCATACAAAAGTAAAAGGGAAATCATGTGTAAAAAAGGCATTTACGAAATGTCTATTTTCCGAAGCCACGATAATTGCCAGGTTAAAAAAACATTTTCCGTTATACACACGTAAATTTTGTTATGGAGCCCAATACTCTTTTTGTAAAACATTTTAGGACAATTTTATTGCATAAATGTAAATCAGGAATTTGATTAAATATCTATCTTAGATGTTTTGACTCATTTATATAATTCTGACGACTTTACTATATTTACGATGTATTCATTCATGCTAGCAAGCGCATGCGTATATGGGAAGTTGAACGCGTAGGTATATAATACGATTTTATCAATGAACTGTTATTTTTTGTTTTCTTTAAAGGAATGTAGAGTCTATTATTTCATGAAAATGGACGATTTGGAACTTTCAAAGCATTAAAACAACTTTGCAAACACTATTTTAATGATGTGTAGTCGGAATGTAACAATAGTGCAGAATGAAGAACTAGTTTCTATAGTGGTTTTTATCCGGAAGTGGATGTTGTTCGGTGAAGGCTTAACTTGTAACGCCTCCGGAGATATAGCTTATAACTCTGTATACATTGCAAGCAATGTAAACAAAAAGGCGTAAACTTGTCCCGAAGATGAAAGAGGCGAGGCGACAAGGTAAGAGGGCATACTTAGCTTACGACACCCTTTACATCAACGGCGAACAGGTGCGCAAATAGGGGAACGAAGGCGGTGAGGTTTCTATCCTGTCGTGGAATGTTCATGACCTTACTGATTGTAAAAAAAGTAATGTTGATTTTGTTAATATATAAAGCACTCATGATATATATTTTTTTTTTGCATGAAACTTGGACAAAAGCGTCTAGCAATATTACTCTTATACTGGCTATAATTCTTATAATTTTTACAGAAAATTTCAACATAGAAATGCACGTCGGTCCAGCGGCGGAATAATTATTCATATTAAAAGCCATTTAGAAAACGGCATTCAAATTGTTAGAAATCACCATGACACTATAATCTGGTTAAAAATGGATTACAATTAAATCAAAACTGTGTTAAGAAGGTTTTTCCATATTTCGTGAGCTATTCTTTGACCCCAGGTTACCCATATTCAAACTTGACAAACTTACAGACACATTTCCAGGATATTTGGATCAAAACAGTAGCCACTAGAGTGTTAGCAAGATTTTTCTATTTTTAGCTCCTGTGACTTAGAATTCCATTTGAGATGATCCATGTTCGAACTCATACGGGCAATTACCTAGGCAAGCATCCTGACAAAGTTTGATGATTATTGAGGCACAAATGTGACCGCTACAGTGTAAACGAACAAATGCGGACTGTCGACGGACGACAGACATTCAACGATCCAAAAAACTCAACCTGAGCTAGCTCAGTTGAGCTAAAATCCTAAATTAGATAGAAGACAAATTCATAAACAATACTTATAATGAACCGTAAGCTCCATGTCGGAAATGTCGTTCGCTCGTTTATTATACTACAATGTTGAAGTGGAGCTTAAGTTTGTCGGGCGTGGGTAGGTACCATATATTGGTTGGTATCTTTAATTTTAATTCTACAGACAACTAAATATTGTTAACAGTTCTTTTATTTTCTCACTTCTCTTAATATTATTAATATTTGTCTATTTTATTTAATGATTAATAAAATGTATTCGTATTCTTTTTTTTTATTTTCAGACGATTAGTAAGTTTAGTTTCACCTACCTCGTTGTGACAAATTTTTTCAATTTTGCTATGAATATATCCCTAAAAAAGAAAACACATATTTGATATTTGAGCTAATAAATTTTCATTGTCAATGTTTCTGAATGCATTGCACCACACAAAGAAACCACCCCTTATTTAATATTTTATCTTTAGAGCGATCCAGTTTTCCCTCAGTACTTAAATCAATCTAAAAAACTACATTTCCTGATGACATTTTGATTCAACGGAAATTAAACATTCCAACAAATGTGTGAAAAGCGAGAAAAAAATCAATAAAACTTTCTCAGTTTTCAGTTCAATTTATCAGTACAATTGTCAATAAAATATATTAGATCTATATAGGTTAACAAGAACCATCGATTAGTTTGTGTTTTAAGAGATATATTTATGTTGGAATAAAGTGATATTTTCCTGTTTGAAATAAAGCTGTAAGGAGTGTTTGTTTTTCATAATTAATTCATTCATTCACTTCATTGACTGAATGCATATATTGTACATATATTGTACACGGGCTAGGGTCGTCGAGATTATCATCGTTTTCAGAATTAACAAGAGTCACTCCCGGGAGGGGTTAACGCTCAACTTTTGATTTTTGACTTTTTCTACAAGCAAACAAATTAACGGTTTAAACAAATGCTCAGTAAAAATGTTATGATTTCCTTATTATAATTTTTATTTTAATCTTAGGTCAGTCTAGTCACATAAGTTTTGTCGAAGTATGAATCTTTTCTATAAATAAATGGCAATGTTAAGAAAATATGATAAAGCATTTGATTAACATCTTATATATGTATATTACAGAAAAATATATATGTATAAGATGCTTGTTCAAATGCTTGAATTTTGATTATATTTTCTTAACATTGTCATTTATTTCATGAAAAATATCTAAGCTCTACCTCTTTTGTATTTTACCATTTTTATGTTTTACTATATACATATAAGAAAAATCAGAGATCTCTGGGGTGGTTTGAACAAACTTGGTAGACATCTACTAGAAGATGTTTCATGCCAGTTATCTAAGCTCTCGCTCTCGTTTGTTAAAAAAAAAATGTTGACGCACGGTCGCACGAATGGACGGACAATAGACGACGGACAAGGGGTCATCACAAAAGCTCACCTAAAAGGTTAAAAGCAAATATCTTTTTTTGGAAGAGCTAGAAATGTGTCCATAGGACACGGGTGCCCCCACCGCGCCACTGTTCTGTCAATCTTATGACTCCAGGTCAAATATTTTTGAAAACTAAAAATCTTTTACTTAGTAAAGGGCAAGAACTTTATAAATACTGAATAAATCCACAAGCAAACCCAAAGGTGCATAAGAACACATGCTGACCAAAATTCTTGTAAACTTTCAGGCCTACAAGAGAAATACTTTTTAAGCTATGCATGAACAAGTTGAAAATTGCAAATTTATACTACTGTAAATCAAGGGCAATAACTTTAACAAAACTGAAAAAAATCCATATGCAAAGTCCCAGGTACATAGCTTCACAGTGATGTGAATCATTATTACTGTAATTTAGTGATGTTGATCATTATTCCTGTAAAGTTAGTTGATTCTAACTCAAGCACTCAAGGAACAAATAACAACATAATGAAACGGTTTTAACTAAGTCAAGGAAAATAACTCAAATACTAGATAAATCCACAAGTGAAACCCAGGTGCAAAACTAAATATGCTGAGCAACCTTCCCATAAGGTTTAATGACTCTATGTCAAATCCTTTTTGAGTTACATGCGACACAAGTTGAAAATTGCAAAAAAATTCTAAGTCAAGGGTAATAACTCTAAAAATACTAAATAAATCCAGAGGAAAATACCCAGGTGCACAACTACACATGCTGATCAATATTCATGTAAAGTTTCATGACTCTATGTCAAATCCTTTTTGAGTTACATGCGACACAAGTTGAAAATTGCAAACATTTACTAAGTCGGGGGCAATAACTCTAAAAATACTATATAAATCCAGACGAAAATACTTAGTTGTACAACTACACATGCTGATCAACATTCATGTAAAGTTTCATGACTCTAGGTCAAATTACGTGCAACACAAAAGAGAACGGACGGACGGAAGCTCGGACGGACGGAAGGACGGACGGACAAGGGTAAATCTAAATGCCCGACGTACATAATAGCTCATACAGTATTATTTTTCCACAGACTTGAAACTTACGATAAAGCACGTTTAAAGTTTCTTTTTTCCAAAAGTTTACATCTTTCAAAATTTTGCTTTTATACCTCTTCAGAATCCAAGATGGCGTCCAATATGGTCGCCGATTTTATGCAAAACTGATATATCCCTTTTGTAGTAAAATTTGTTGCACAAAGTATGATTATTTTGATATTAAGTGTTAAGACTAACCAGACAAATCGAATTTTAGGTTAATCATAGTGCTAGTCAATTTCTTTAGTTATATAATATATCAAAGAAAATGTGCCATTCTTTGGCACTTTTCTCCAACATGGTTTTCTTGGTCTATATACAAAATTCAAAAACGTCACTGGGTTTTTATAGTGTTTTTGATATTCAATTATATTTCGTATGTTACGGAAACATAAAATCTGTAGGTAAGGTAAGTGGGTAGGGTAAATTTATTTAACAATTGTAATACAAAATAACGAAATTGCAAAGGTAGGTAATATTTATTTCTTTGTTTTTTTTTTGTAATTTTTCTTTATGAATTTTTATACAAATATTCACTGTTCAAAGTATTTTTATTGTATTAAGGTATTTTTGTCATACTTCAGGTCTAGATGGTGAGCTTCAATATCAATAAATGCACATACAATCATTTGTATACATTCAGTTTTAAAACTTGTTTGCATAATATAACTTGTTTCAATATTCTTAAAATAATTCGACAATTGTACATAAAGTAGACTACTAGACTGGATATACATAAATAAACATGTGCTAGTTAAATCATACCTGTACTTAATGGAAATATTGCCTATTTACAAATACATTTAATTCGTGCACAATTTCTTTATGAAATGAAACAAAAATGCCTTAAAGCTAACACAATTATGAATTTTCTATTTGGTATCATAGTCTTGTAACTGACAGATTCAAAGATATATTTACTTTCCTATCATTGTAATCAAGTAATATTGAATTAGCACTGTTCATTTCTATTAACATGTTTTTGGACATGATATTTTCAAAAGATACAAAGTAAAATTAAGGCAATTGATACATCATATCTTATATGTGTAGTAAAATACCTTGACCCACATAACATTTCTGATGTTTTGAAATATAAACTAAATGTATTTCAATTACTATCAATACTTTATTTTCCCTCTTAAACAAGAGAGCATTGATGAACCAAGATCACTCACCTAAGATACAGTATTGGAAAGGGTTATAATTCGTTAATACTTCAGTACGATACAATCATAATCAGAAGGAGTATCATTTTTTCACCAAATACAGTCATGATTTATAAACTGTTTCAAAAGAAAAAAAAAGCCCAATAACTATGAAATTTTACACACAAGAAGACTCATATAACTTCTTTCCATACAAACTAAGTTTTATATAGCATCACAATGTGACGATATACAATATTTATTTCTGCTCTGTGCGCTGTAGTTTAAGAGAATATTTTCAAGACATAAGTCAATGTGAATTAAGTGACATCCTAGGGAAAGCCATTTTGGACTGCAGGAGGATGATGTAAAGGCCACGAGAGGCGCAGTATTTTAAGACTTATGCAGGGAATCACAATGAAGTCCTCTTTTGGAAAACTGCAACGCCTAGTGCTTAGTCAGCATATTACCTTGCAAAGTAGAGTAGACCTATTTCAAAGTTACATAAAGCGCTTTTCGATCACTTAATGTACATAGATTCGCACAGAAGAAATGTTTTAAAAATCTTCTCAAAAAGCACAATGCACATACCATAGATACTAAGCATGTAGCCTCACCTTTATGCCTTTATTAACATATTTAATAAATCTTGTTCATAGAACCACCTAGTTTTTTAAACTTGTATAGGAAACACATTGAAACTTCTAGTGTTAAACTACAATGACTAGAACTAAGATATTTTGGAATGTAACATGATACAACATGCATATATTTGTATGCTACAGTAACAATGGCTTTGCAATGGGTATCACTTAATTTACAAAGACTACTGTGATAAATCTGATTTTTACTAAATCTACAATATCCAAATCATAGACATTGATCATGTATCATCATAATTTTGTGATAGATTACATAAATTTGATAAAACATGAACAAGATGGTCAAAATTTACCAAGCACTAGGGGTCACAAAATTTATATGGAGGCATATATGAATATGGTTATGGTTATTTAAGTGATGTCGTGTGGAACAATTTTAATAACCTAGATAATGGGCACGCTTGTTTTAAAACAACCTGATACAATTATTTTACAATCATGTACATGTATGTTTTGGCATAATTGACACGCCAAATATTATCTTATTACAAACCTTTATTAAAGAATTGTGACCTTATTCCAACATTGAACTTAGGTGAGTGATCTAAGGTCATCATTACCCTCTTATAGAAAGAATTATATATGCATAATTTAGGAAATACAGTTAGTTTATATCAACTTATCATAAAATGCACGCAGGCCAGGCGATACCATTGATATATCTGTTTCACATCACATAGAAATGATGTGGCAGTAGCCTTATATTTACTATGTATGATCAGAAATTTAATGACAAACAAGAAATAACACGCAACAAAGTGTAATAAATGAATGTATACACATGCTTTTGTGCAATTCTTTGACATTTTAGCTCACCCACTTAACCCGAAGGAAGACAAAAATACCTTCATCCAATGAAGTGTACTTTTTAAGAGCGAACATTTGCAAAATATTTCATACAAAAGTAAAAATGCAAAGAAATAGAATGAACTTACCTATATGATTTTTTATTGTATTTCATTTATAATTACCGATAAATTTACCCCACCCGTTTTCACAAAATATAAAACCTACAGATTTTATATTTTTCTTATTTCTTATTTTGATAATAAACACATGGTGTAAAATACAGTTTAAGAAATAAAGTAACACTTTTTAAACTTTAGAGAAATATGCAAACATTGTATTTTTCCTTCATATTTTTAAAGATATTTTGTAGACAGAAACTTTAAAAATATTACTTTCTGTTTGATTAAAATATAATTTGATTATTTATATTCATGATCAAACACATTTCTTTTATAAATAAACATAATTTGTGCAATACTTAATATTATAAAAATGATAAAACAGTTTTGCACAAAATCGGCGGCCATATTAGACGCCATCTTGGATTCTGAAGAGGTATTACAGCGGAATTTTGTAAGATTTAAATATATGAAAAATAGAAACGTTATTCATGCTTTGGTGTAAGTTTCAGGTATGCACAAAAAATCTGAATGAAAACATCAAATTTATATGGCGGCCATATTGAAAATAGCGGCAATCTTGAATGAGCAGAGATATTTTTGAGCCCACTTCATTTTTTTTAAATCTACATGGTCTAAAGATGATGTCCTGAAAGCTTCATGCTTGTATCACCATTTGCACTATTTTCTCAATTTCCCGCCCCACTATAAATATGAAGTCGTGCGTGTGATTATCATGGCACTACCCATGGCCCTACATCGCTCACCTGACAAATCGAACTCATCTGATCAATTACTTAGACAAGCATCCTGATAATGTTTGATGCCAATTGAGTCAACAATGTGACAACTACAGTGTTAAAGAGGTTTTTCTACATTTGGACGGTGTGACCAAGTTTTTGACACACATATTTTAACTTGACCTAGAAATCATCCAAACAAAGTTTCAGACCAATTTCCAGGATATTTGTATCATAACAGTTGCCACTACAGTGTAAACAAGATGTTTTCTATTTTTAGCCCATTATGAACTAATTTTTCATTTAAAATGACTAATGTTCGAATTCATCCGAACACTAATCTAGACAATCATCTTAAGAAAGTTTGATGTCAATTATGTCAAAAATGTGACCACTAGAGTGATAATAAGGTTTTTCCATATTTTAGCGGCATGTCATGGTTTTTGATACAAGGAAACCCATATTCAATCTTGACTTAGAAATCATCAAAACGACTTTCAAATCAATTTCCAGGATTTTTGGATCAAAACACTAGCAACTACAGTGTTAACAAGAATTGACTATTTTAGCTCCTGTGACCTAGTGTTAAATCCGAAAATAAACATGTTCGAACACATCAAAGAAATAATCTAGACAAGCATCATGACAAAGTTTGATGAAAATAAAATCAAAAATGTGTTAACAAGGTTTTTCCATATTTCGTGACCTATTTTTTGACTCCAGGTGACCCATATTCAAATTTGCCAAACAAACTAACAGACAAATGTCCAGGATATTTGGATCAAAACAGTAGCCACTAGAGTGTTAGCAAGATTTTTCTATTTTTAGCTCCTGTGACCTCGTTTTCCATTCGAGATGAACCATGTTCGAACTCATCCGGGCAATTACCTAGGCAAGCATCCTGACAAAGTTTGATGATTATTGAGGCAAATATGTGACCGCTACAGTGTAAACGAACAAATGTGGACGGTCGTCGACGGACGACGGACTTTCAACGATCCAAAAAACTCAACCTGAGCTAGCTCAGGTGAGCTAAAATCCTAAATTAGATAGAAGACAAATTCATACACAATACTTATAATGAACCGTAAGCTCCATGTCGGAAATGTCGTTCGCTCGTTTAAATTATACTACAATGTTGAAGTGGAGCTTAAGTTTGTCGGGCGTGGGTAGGTACCATTTATTGGTTGGTATCTTTAATTTTAATTCTACAGACAACTAAATATTGTTAACAGTTCTTTTATTTTCTCACTTCTCTTAATATTATTAATATTTGTCTATTTTATTTAATGATTAATAGAATTCGTATTCTTTTTTGTATTTTTGTGTCTTTTAGATGAAAGTGTGAACAAGATTAGTAAGTTTAGTTTCACCTACCTCGTTGCGAAGAATCTTTTCAATTTCGCTACGAATATATTCCTAAAAAAGAAAACACATATTTGATATTTGAGCTAATAAATTATCATTGTCAAATGCATTGCACCACAAAAAGAAACCACCTCTTATTTAATATTTTATCTTTAGAGCGATCCAGTTTTTCCCTCAGTACTTTGATCAATCTAAAAAACTACATTTCCTGATGACATTTTGATTCAACGGAAATTAAACATTCCAACGAACGAGTGCAAAGCGAGAGGGAATCAATAAAACTTTTTCAGTTGTCAGTTCAATTTATCAGTACAATTGTCAATAAAATATTTTAGATCTATATAGGTAAACAAGAGCCATCGATTAGTTTGTGTTTTAAGAGATATATTTATGTTGAAATACAGTGATATTTTCCTCTTTGAAATAAAGCGGTAAGGAGTGTTTGCTTATCATAATTAATTAATTCATTCACTTCATTTACTGAATGCATATATTGCACACGGGCTAGGGTCGTCGAGATCATCATCGTTTTCAGAGCTAACAATAGCCACTCTTGGGAGAGGTCAACACTCGACTTTTGACTTTTTCTACAAGCAAACAAATGAACGGTTTAAACAAATCCTGAGGAAATATGTTATGATTTCCTTTTTATATTTTTTATTTTAATCTTAGGTCAGTCTTGTCACATTTGTTTTGTCGAAGTATGAATCTTTTCCATAAACAAATGATAATGTCAAGAAAATATAAATTCAAGCATTTGAACAACATCTTATATGTATATACATATATATTTTTCTGTAATATACATGTATATGCATACATATATTACGGAAGAAAAAAAAAGAAATATATATATATATACGAGTTTGAGTTTAATATAAATGAAGGTTTTATACATACGCCGCTTTTCACGGAATGGAACTACTGTGTCACATTAAAGGTTCCATGATAACCGCCGTATGAACACATATTCGGATGTTTCTAAATTTATACTTTCACCGTTTCGTGTTTAAATGTTGAATTCTGTTTAAGCCGGTGCTATGGGGGCGTGGACGGTAACTTGCACTATCCAATCAAACCAAGCTTGCAACTTTTTCAATTTTGCTGCTTTGAGCTTTCTTTAGGGATTCATTTTTTCTCTTTTTTACAATAACTACTAAATTGTCCCGGTTAAATGATCATAGTGCAATCTAGCTGAAACAAGAACGGTTTGAGCCGGGTGATGCTCACCGAAAAGGTTCTGGACACAGAAAAGTAAATCTCTTGTAGTTTCAGAGTTCTGTCTTGTACACAGTTCAAAGTGCAATAATTCCAAAATTAGACAAGGTAGATTTCCTGTTCTTTGCATTGCATTGCAACTTATCTTAATTAGACATTTCTATCGAATAAGTTTCTTGTTGATAACTCTTGTAGTGTCATAGAAATGTCTCGGACAAAGTTTACAGTGTAAAGTTAAAAATGTTAGTAACCCCGAAAATAAGCAGACAGAGTTGCGTTTTTATTCATTGCACTTCTACCTAATGAGATCTCTCTACCTATAAAGTTTTTGTTTATATCTCTTATAGTGTCAGAGTTGTATCCTGGACTAAGTTCAAAGTATAAAAGTGTATAAAGAGAAATTACTCTAAAATTAGGCAAGACAAAGTTACAGTTCTTGTGCTCTGCTCAACTATCCAGTAATTTTAGAATCATAAATACACGATATTTATTTACAGATTATAAGTTTTTAGTATTAAAATGTCATTGTTTATGATACATATTAAGTTTTCATTTCAGTTTAATTGTGTTACACTACGTTGGGCTGGATAATACAATTTTATTTCAAATAAGCATTTAATAACCCTTGGAAGATAAGACTTGAACAATAATACTGAGCGTGATGTATTATCTTTTTTACATACTAGTGATATATGGGATGTCAGGAGGGTCAAAAAACAAATACAGAATGTACAATAATTATGTAATTTCAAAATTGTGATTCCAAAGAATATGGATCACCATTTTACAAACACATGACGATAAGATAGTTTCGAAACAAACGTAATGAGTCAGAGATGTCTGTGCTAATATGGATATCTGTCTGTTCATCTACACCGTCGGTCTTTCTGTTTAACAACATGTCTATCTGTCTTTCTGTCCGTTTGTCTCTCTGTTTTTGTATTTACCAAAATATAAAATTTGATTGTTGTAAAACTTGATTGTGAGATACTATTAACCTTTGGAGAACATATTTATAAGGGTATGTCTATCTGTTTGCTTTCCTTTCCTTATGTTGTCCGTGCTAAATTTATGAAAACTGCAACATATAGTCTGTGAATCATATTGAAAGTGATGGCCTAAACGACCAGATAACTCATTGTAGATATTAAGAGTGATTGATAAAAAGTTCAGGAGCTTTGAAAAGCCAAAAATGAAAGCCCTGTTATACTGACATCCATGTGACAACAAGGAAAATGCCTTCTTTTATTTAATTTTGTTTATCTCGTCAATAACAGTTTCAGATTTTATTTAAATATCTGGTAAAAAAGTGTTCCCTCTGAAGCATTAAAAACAGCAAATTTACAGTAAATTGCAGCCTCCGTTTGATTGAGTCTGTGATCATGAAACCTGTATTTGACGTTGAACATACGTTTCGCTTAGTATTGCACCCAAATTTAAAGTATGCACTTTTTGGGTAAAATTTATTTTCTTCATTTTCCTATGAAAAGTAGTATTATACTTAGGATCAGACATTATGATTTTTTGTAATCTCTTTTTTAATTCTATTTTAGATGACTGGATGTAAAGCCGAAATGTTAGAAAAGAGTATTGTTATGATAACGACAAGAAGAGAAACTGGAAGAAACCATACTCTTATTATAAGTTCAGAAAAAAAATAATAAAGGTTAAACGTTTAATATTTATTTAAGACATTAACTGTGTAAGTTGCAGAAAGAACATAAACTTCGTGGCGATGTTGTCAGTAAAGTTTAAACCTTCGACTTTTATGTTTAAATCAATTCTTTGTGTAAAACAAGACATTTTTAGTGTGAAGTAAGGTCCTAGGAGGAATCAATGGCGTAAATGGCCTCCTGACAGCTAAATTACGTTACCACCATTTTTGTCACAGTAACAGTTGAACATCTCAAAACGTTCTTTTCATGAAAAGTGCAAACACACGACTTGCGAATCTAGTGAAAATGTAATCGAAAACAGCAGTTTTAGAGAAGACTCTTTAACCACTATGCAATACTTTGAAAATTATTATAGGGACAATTTTTTTTTAAATGTGACTAGGTGTTGTCTAACTAATAAGCATTATCAGAGACATAAAGATATGGAAATCACTCTTAATTCTCGTTATATAATAAGGAAGAAAACATAAATAGGTTTAACAAGATGTGCTGGCATTCAAAGTTAAAATATTTGTGAAAACAACCTAAATGATACTGACATAAAATTGACAGTTTGTACAAATAAAATTCTACATTTTGAACTATTACTCTAGGCATTACTTTAGCTCATTTTTAGCATTAAAAACGAAGATTTAATCTTAACTGACTGAAGTGTTTTGCAATATAAATAATTGGATAATACTGGCGATGTAAAATGAACTTATGTCTACAAAATCATATTAAAAGTGATAGTTTGCATAAAATTTATGGATGATATTTGGAATCATGTGACGTTGGTAACGTACAAATATGTTAAATGACGCAACAAAAGTCTCTATAATCAGTTACTTTCAGAAATTCAGTATATTGCCAGGTGCAGTGTTTGTTCCTGTAGATTTCAGGGTGAATAACTCAGTTTGTTCTCTATATTTTCATAAATCTTTCAAGAATAGTTAAAAATTGCTAGAATAATGTCAAATGAATGTTATTGATGTAACGTACGTTATATTTTGCTTTGAAAATGTCTTAAGTGATTAAGTTTTCTTATTAATTTTATATAAGCTTATGTGATATAAATAATATTTTAACCTCTTTTCAATTGTAAATATTATGTATTTTAAGATAATGCAATTGAAACGATTTGCAATATAAATATGAGTGGGTGTGGTAATAATCTTGTGTGTCACGAGTGAATACATACATGTAATAAAATGGGGCCAAACCTGTTTTTGATCATTGCAAATTCTATTTTTATGAACACTAAATACAAGCTGGCTAAGAAAACTACCAATCTATAACAGAGAAAGACAAGACAATCGCCACATAACAATATTATATTACGATTTTTATCCCTAGACAGGTACTCGTAAACTACCTGCCATAAGTCATGTTTCCGAAAGTATATCTTTTTATGGTTTTACTATAAGGTCCATGTATAAATATTGATTGCAAAATACAAAAGAAAGCTTGTGTTGCAATTTGTTTGATGTCAAGCTAAATATACTCATAACTTCATTGCCTATTAAGTATTAATCAACCTACAGCTGTAAAATTATAGGATGAACAGCCATGTCAAATGCATGACCTATATTGATTATAGGGTCATAAGGTCAAAGGTCAGGATCACCTCAACACTGACAATTGTGAGTTCTGGAGCATAACTTAAGTTCCATTTGGCCTACAGTGTTCAAACTTCATAGGATGATTGTCGATATTGAGTAGAAGACCCCTATAATGGGTCACAAGGTCAAAAAACAATCTCACTATTACCTTAATATTGAAGACGGTGTTCTCAAAATTACTAAAGTATTAATCAACCAATAGTTGTAAAATGTTATAGGATGAACAGCCATGTCCAATACATAACCCCTATTGATCTTAGGTCATAAGGTCAAAGGTTAGGGTCACAATGACGTTAACACTGAAAATTATTGTGGTTTCTGGAGCATAACTTAAGTTCTATTTGACCCACAGTGTTCAAACTTTAAAGGATAATTGCCTATATTGAATAAATGATCCTTATCTATCTTGGGGTTACAAGGTCGAAGGTCAATATCAAATGACCTTAATATTGTTAGCAGTTTTACAACTGTCAAACTTCATAGGATGATCACTTATATCGAGTACATTAATTATATCCCCTGTTATGTTTATAGGCTTAATTTGATATGTGTTTTG